TGAAAATGTTGCCAGCATCTGAGGCCTACTCCCCTTTATCTTCATCTGTGTTTGAGAGAAGCTGCCAAGGAAAAAGTCAATCCCAGCCAATCAGGCCTTTTAATCTAGAGAAGAAATAATGGCGCTGATTATCTCCAGTCTCGGTGACAGTGATGGAATGATGACTTGCAGTGTTGTTTTCAGAACCTCCATTGTTTCTTCAGCATCAGATTATCACCATCAGTGTAACTTCAGGTTGAACCAGTCCAGAAAAAATACAAATAGATAAGTGTGTTAGATTATCCAATTATTACTTGATAAGATGCTGGTCAGGTTTTTATAGGCAGCTGTGAGAAATACAGTAAATATGCTATCTATAGACAGATGGATAGATTGATATGACAGGTGACAAATTAAAAGAAAACCTGAGTGATGTCTTCCAGGACGACAAGACCCTTCATGCTGCTCCTGTCCAGGTTATGAGGAGTCACTGAATGGTCTGATGAGTATGAAATGATGTGAATCACATGTCATGGCCTTCACAGTCATCGGATCTCAACCCAGTGGAACACCTAGATTTTGGACAAGCTCTCTCTACCACCATCACCCAATCAACAGAGTTCAGAGCCTTGTAGAATCAGTTTCAAGGAACACTGAAGCTGTTCTGGTCTCTGCTTTTGCTGAGCCATAACTTGAAACGCGAACTTCTTTTCATTTTGCTCAATAGCTGTGATCTGCTACTCTTCATGTGGCCTTCACGGACCTCGGGGCTTTTCTGTACTCAGGCGCGCCCGCCGAGTCACATTAGCCTCTATTATAATAACCTACATCAGGATATACACTGTGTCTAGCACTTTACGACAGGCTTAAGAGTAAAGAACATTATTTACAGAAGCTGTAATGTCACTGATATAAAACTGGAGTATGAGCGCTTCACATCGCAGAATTTAAAAGAAACAACTTCTCTGTGTGTGTGTGTGTGTGTGTGTGTGAGAGAGAGAGAGAGAGAGAGAGAGACATCCACACGCGCTTCCTA